AACTCAATGTCTAATGGATTCCTAACTCCGGAAGGGGACAGTCACCGTCATCACCCATTTGACTGCTTGCAGCACCCAGCTCCAGCTCTGCCAGCTTGGTGCCCCACGTACTTGCCTTCTGAGAAGAACCTCGGGCCACGCTGAGACCACCACTGCTGCTGAATTTGAGGGGCTCTAGCAACGCAAAACAAGAAGCCGTTGCCACTTCGGGTACTTCCGTTTCCTTTTCACGTCCGATGCCAATACCTGCTGCCACGGGTTCTCCCCCCTTTGTCACTCCAAGGAAAGCTGAACCTTGCGGTCCAATCACAACATCGTAATGCGCAGCTATAAAGCTGTTCATGCTTAAAGCAGAGCTATCTCCAAAATTACAAGGTGCCAAAATGGAATATTCGTGGAGGCTTTGTTTTAAAGGGTCGCCTTGGTTTTACAGGGATGTTTGCCTTGTCGCGGGCTTCGTTTCCAAGGTTCGCCTTCGTTTTCAGGGGTTCGTCCACAACGGCACAGCCTTTCTTCGATTCATCCAGGCCACTTGTTGCCCTCGGCCTTGGCCTTCTCGGCTTTCGCAAAATCATCCTGCGGAACGAAAGCGCACATCGAACCCACGTGTTTGGCGTAACGACACACCAACTATTTGACTTGAACCATGGCATCCGAAACCTCCCCAGCCCACAAAATGCCATCCGCAAGGGCGTCCTTGGAGGACTTACCAGAAGCTGAAGGGCAACGAGTTTTTGCCCCCACCGTTTTCTCCCTTGTCGGGACCAAACCTGTGAGCGTCCATGGGTCGACGCGCGCCTCCATTGCTATCTTCTCAGCCACCTCAGAACCACAAGCGGTTGCTAGTCAGGCACAAAGCACCGTACGTCTCGGTCGGCACTCCTGAAAGATTGTCTTGGTGCAACGCCAATAAGCTCCCTCTGGCAAAGCAAGCACGACTACCTGTGACATAGACAAAGGACGGCCTGATCACATGGGGAGCATCAGAATACAGCCCTACTCCCAGGTTCCTTACAAAAATTCTCGCCATCGCCTGCGTTTGTGTCGAGCTTCGCAAATGTCCAAAATGTCTGCATTCATGGTGTATCCCCCCTTAAAGGAAACTCACTCACAAATCGCCCCGAATGGTGATGGTGTTGAACCACTGGAAAAGTAGCTGATGTGATGCAGGGGGTTCCTGGAAAAGTGCCACCCCCCACCCCCCCGCCCCCCCCCGCACCCCACATTTCTGTGGTGCGTCGAGTCCGATGTCCAAGGCCGACGCTGCTCCAGGAGCATCTTGAGGTCAGCTCATGACCGGTTAAAACTCGAGAAGCTGAAGCCAAAAAAAGTGCAAGGCGGCGTCGAGTCGGGTCTCCAAATGGAGCCCCTTTCCCCGAAAAGTGACGTTTCGGGGAACCTGGCAGAATAGCCAATTGGCCTCCCTCTTTGTGCAGGAAAGGAAAATCGAGCTCCTGGAGGGTTGCCCCCACATTGTTGAGAGCAACCCAAAAACCGTCCTTTTGGTGCCTCCCTCTTTGTGCAGGAAAGGAAAATCGAGCTCCTGGAGGGTTGCCCCCACATTGTTGAGAGCCACCCAAAAACCGTCTTTTTGGTGCCTCCCTCTTTGTGCAGGAAAGGAAAATCGAGCTCCTGGAGGGTTGCCCCCACATTGTTGAGAGCCACCCAAAAACCGTCTTTTTGGTGCCAACCTCCTTCGTGCAGGAAAGGAAAATCGAGCTCCTGGAGGGTTGCCCCCACATTGTTGAGAGCCACCCAAAAACCGTCTTTTTGGTGCCAACCTCCTTCGTGCAGGAAAGGAAAATCGAGCTCCTGGAGGGTTGCCCCCACATTGTTGAGAGCCACCCAAAAACCGTCTTTTTGGTGCCAACCTCCTTCGTGCAGCCAAAGTGAATATTGAATCTGCCACTAATGAAGAAAAGAGAACCACTCAAATATGGCCGTGCAATTCTTCAGAGATGCACTCTATGATCATGTTTGATACTCACGGCTTTGACAAGCTTGGCAAGCTCCCATGAACTCCTGGATCTCGGAAAGCCTCAAACGGTGGCCAGGTCCACAGCCCGTCGAAAGCTCGGCATCCCTTTGGCGCCGGCCCCTTGGGTGTGGCACCCCCAGTTCCTGCACGGTGTCTTCCCCATCCCGCAGCCTGCCAAACCCTGGGCCGCTTCACACGTATTACACCAAACCCTCTCATGGCATGGCGCTCGTACCCCAAATGGTATGAAAGCTCCATACCTCGAGATGTTTTCCATCAACTCCTCCGGGATGGGAATGACCCACTGTGAAACTGGAACAGCCGTCCAATTACATATTCTCGTCAGGGGCTTCACAGTTAACTGACAGTGGAAATTTGGAAGGCGTGGTGTTGAGCGGGAAGGAGCTGGGAGTTTCAGAGAGTTGCCGCGCAACTTCCCCGTGACCCACAAAAGCCGCGAGAGCCATTTTCTCCCTTTCCGCTCGGAGGCCTGGCACGGGCTTACGGCTGCAGCTCCTGGCGAGCGGAGCTAAGTTTGAAGGGGGGTTTTGGCAAAAAAGGACCCGCTGTTGGCCGGTTCTTCTTCTTTTTTGTGGAGCCAACAGGAAACAGGCTGGATTAAGATTTATCCACCTGCGTGTTCCTCTTCCTCCTGCAAGAAGGCCCCCGCGGCAAAATGCCGAGGTCATGTTTTTCTCTTGAAGGGACCGACATGTGCGAGTTTCCCACCGTCCAACCTGTTGAAACATGTTTGAACATGCTAAAAATTACATAACTAAAACATCAAGTCATGCATGTTGTTCATTTCAAGGGAGTCCAGTACCTGAAGATTGGTCGTGCCGGCAGTGTCAGCATTCAACTGTGAGCCACTTCGTCATTTGCGAGTCACTTCCTCGTGTGTACTTGCCCCATCCATGGCCAACAATTATGTACAGCCCCGATGGCACGCGGTTTCGGCATCTTCGTGTCGTTCGCAACAAGGGAAATGGCACGATCTTGCCAAAGTGCCTTGAAAAATGGGCCCACAACTGTCTCACAATGCATGCAACGCGTACTTCCATGTGAAATGGCACAATGGCACAATCCTGCCCAAGTGCCTTGGATATAAGGCCCGACAACTGTCTCACAATGCACCCGACGCATAGTCATATCCCCAAGAAGCATGTGCGACAGTTAGGGAGCAAAAAATCCCTTGCAACCTGAAATTGGATATAAGGCCCCACAACTGTCTCACAATGCACCCAACGCATAGGCATATACCTAAGCAGCATGTGCGACAGTCAGGGAGCTGAGTCTGCCTTGCAAAATGAGCAGTCAGTGTTGTGCTGCCTCATGCCATCTGGGCCGTGTGAAATGGCACAATGGCACAATCTTGCCCAAGTGCCTTGGATCTAAGGCCCCACAACTGTCTCACAATGCACCCAACGCGTAGTCATATCCCTAGGCAGCATGTGCGACAGTCAGGGAGCTGAATCTGCCTTGCAAGATGAGCAGTCAGTGTTGTGCTGCCTCTTGCCATATGGGCCGTGTGAAATGGCACAATGGCACAATCTTGCCCAAGTGCCTTGGATATGAGGGGCCCCACAACTGTCTCACAATGCACCCAACGCGTAGTCATTTCCCTAAGCAGCATGTGCGACAGTCAGGGAGCTGAATCTGCCTCGCAAGATGAGCAGTCAGTGTTGTGCTGCCTCATGCCATCTGGGCCGTGTGAAATGGCACAATGGCACAATCTTGCCCAAGTGCCTTGGATATAGGGCCCCACAACTGTCTCACAATGCACCCAACGCGTAGTCCTCTCCCTAAGCAGCATGTGCGACAGTCAGGGAGCTGAATCTGCCTTGCAAGATGAGCAGTCAGTGTTGTGCTGCCTCATGCCATCTGGGCCGTGTGAAATGGCACAATGCAACTGTCTCACAATGCACCCAACGCGTAGTCATTTCCCTAAGCAGCATGTGCGACAGTCAGGAGCTGAGCTGCCTTGCAAGATGAGCAGTCAGTGTTGTGCTGCCTCATGCCATCTGGGCCGTGTGAAATGGCACAATGGCACAATCTTGCCCAAGTGCCTTGGATATAAGGCCCCACAACTGTCTCACAATGCACCCAACGCATAGCCCTCTCCCTAAGCAGCATGTGCGACAGTCAGGGAGCTGAATCTGCCTTGCAAGATGAGCAGTCAGTGTTGTGCTGCCTCATGCCATCTGGGCCGTGTGAAATGTCACAATGGCACAATCTTGCCCAAGTGCCTTGGATATAGGGCCCCACAACTGTCTCGCACCCAACGCATAGTCATATCCCTAGGCAGCATGTGCGACAGTCAGGGAGCTGAATCTGCCTCGCAAGATGAGCAGTCAGTGTTGTGCTGCCTCATGCCATCTGGGCCGTGTGAAATCGCACAATGGCATAATCTTGCCCAAGTGCCTTGGATATAGGGCCCCACAACTGTCTCACAATGCACCCAACGCGTAGTCCTCTCCCTAAGCAGCATGTGCGACAGTCAGGGAGCTGAATCTGCCTTGCAAGATGAGCAGTCAGTGTTGTGCTGCCTCATGCCATCTGGGCCGTGTGAAATGTCACAATGGCACAATCTTGCCCAAGTGCCTTGGATATAGGGCCCCACAACTGTCTCGCACCCAACGCATAGTCATAGCAGCATGTGCGACAGTCAGGGAGCTGAATCTGCCTTGCAAGATGAGCAGTCAGTGTTGTGCTGCCTCATGCCATCTGGGCCAATGGTGCAACTGTCTCACAATGCACCCAACGCGTAGTATTTCCCTAAGCAGCATGTGCGACAGTCAGGGAGCTGAATCTGCCTTGCAAGATGAGCAGTCAGTGTTGTGCTGCCTCATGCCATCTGGGCCGTGTGAAATGTCACAATGGCACAATCTTGCCCAAGTGCCTTGGATATAGGGCCCCACAACTGTCTCGCACCCAACGCATAGTCATATCCCTAGGCAGCATGTGCGACAGTCAGGGAGCTGAATCTGCCTCGCAAGATGAGCAGTCAGTGTTGTGCTGCCTCATGCCATCTGGGCCGTGTGAAATCGCACAATGGCATAATCTTGCCCAAGTGCCTTGGATATAGGGCCCCACAACTGTCTCACAATGCACCCAACGCGTAGTCCTCTCCCTAAGCAGCATGTGCGACAGTCAGGGAGCTGAATCTGCCTTGCAAGATGAGCAGTCAGTGTTGTGCTGCCTCAGGCCATCTGGGCCGTGTGAAATGGCACAATGGCACAATCTTGCCCAGGTGCCTTGGATGTAAGGCCCCACAACTGTCTCACAATGCACGCAACGCGTAGTCATATCCCTAAGCAGCATGTGCGACAGTCAGGGAGCTGAATCTGCCTCGCAAGATGAGCAGTCAGTGTTGTGCTGCCTCATGCCATCTGGGCCGTGTGAAATAGCACAATGGCACAATCTTGCCCAGGTGCCTTGGATATAAGGCCCCACAACTGTCTCACAATGCACCCAACGCATATCCCTAAGCAGCATGTGCGACAGTCAGGGAGCTGAATCTGCCTCGCAAGATGAGCAGTCAGTGTTGTGCTGCCTCATGCCATCTGGGCCGTGTGAAATGGCACAATGGCACAATCTTGCCCAAGTGCCTTGGATATAAGGCCCCACAACTATCTCACAATGCACCCAACGCATAGTCATATCCCTAAGCAGCATGTGCGACAGTCAGGGAGCTGAATCTGCCTTGCAAGATGAGCAGTCAGTGTTGTGCTGCCTCATGCCCATCTGGGCCGAGTGAAATGGCACAATGGCACAATCTTGCCCAAGTGCCTTGGATATAAGGCCCCACAACTATCTCACAATGCACCCAACACATAGTCATATCCCTAAGCAGCATGTGCCATGATCAAAATCCCGTACCCCCAGTGAACATCCCAACCCTCACTACAATAGACTAAAATGGGTGGTGCACCTACCCCAAAATGGTACCATTGCCCACAGCCGTGGCTTGCCTCGCAAAGGACACACCTCCCGCGAAAGCCCCCAGCCATCCGCGCCGGGAGAGCTCAAGGAGCAGCACCGCGTGCAGCTCCTCCTGGCCAAAGGCATGCCGAGCCACCCGTGGCTCCCGTGGCTCCCGGTAAAGTGAAGACAAAAGGCAAAAGCAAAGCCAACTCAAAAAGCGTGGATGATTCTCAGAAACAGAATCAAAGTCGTGATGGCCGCGGCTTTTGATTGCGACGAAGGCAAACGGAGACCCCTCAAAACCCAAGGATCCAACGATTTCAGATCTAGAACAAGAAACGGTGCCAGCTGATCCCTTGTTGCCCTTGCCCTTCAGATATGTCAAAGGTTGCTTTTGGTTTGCTTCCCTTCTCACATATGGTACTGGAGTTGTTCTGCATGCAAATAAGCTGGCTCATTTTCTCTCATTCTGAGTGAGCTTGAAGAGTGCCTTGCAAAACAAGTGAAAATGCAGCCAACCCAGCCACAACACAGGTAGAAACAACGGCTTGAAAGGGATCATTACCAACCCAAAAGACGAATAAAAAAAACTTTGATAGAACCCACGAGCCCAAACGAAATTCACTTTCTAACAGCGCTTGGAACTCATCACCTCTCCATCCCATCTCTCGTCCCCAAACGGGCAGGTGGGAGGCTGCTGCGACTTCGCTTCGGCTCCATGCATCGTGTTACTCGAAAGATGCATTTTCTTGGTGTCTGACACAGATAAGGAAACGCACTGTTGCGAAAGACATCCCTCACCTTGACCAAAGCCTTCTTGAAGACCCTCTGGACAAACGTATCCTACTGGCCGTCAAGAGGCAAATGCTGGCAGCCTTGCTCCAAGTCCCTTTCACGGCTCGGATCGTTCACTCGCCTCCTCGAACTCGCGAGCGGCTTCCATGCTCTTCCTGGGCCCGAGGCTGCGAGCGAGCCGGGCGCGGTCTGCCGGCACTGCAAGAATATGGTCAAGCCCCTCATGTTCGAACATGTGAGGATGGCCTTTTGAAGGATATGGTTTGGATGCTTGAATTTTGGCGGCGCAAAACAGAGCCACCGCGGCACTGGGTGCAACAACGATACTTCTTTTTGTGGCGTGGGTGTGACATCCCCTACCCCAAGCGAACAAGGGTAGGTGATTCATTTGTCTATTCCCGACTAAGGGTACAATGAAACCATCAAAGGAAATCGAGGGTCAAAATTCCTCTATCTTGAGAAGGCAATGCCTGGAAGAGGTTTCAGAGGCGACAGGCTCGCCACGCCATAGCGGTTGCATGCGCCAAAGCAACATTGCATGCCCATCACGGCGCAACCAAGTCAACATTCGACAAGCCACAACAATGGTGGATCCAAATTCCAAAGCTGCGCCAAACGTGCGCGTGGTCAAAGTTATCCCCGAAAACAAGCACACAACTGCACGCAAAGAGTCCGAAAGCGCTTCAAGAAAAAGAGTGAAAACATGCCGTTTCGGTTGCGGCTTGCCTGCCGTTTCAATTAGGCGGCGGCATCGCACGGGGAAGCGGAATCTATCGTTCCGTTGGGCGACAGAAGACGCCATGGCCACCAGAGCGCCCAGCTCCCGGCCGGCCATGTCCCAATTCAGCCGTGGGGCAGGAGATAGACATCCTCAGGCCCCCGAAGGCGTGTGTACAAGTAATACAATGGGTGTACACGTGTAAACTCAAGCGATATCACATACATTCACACACAATTTTAAGGCAGCAGCCGATTCAAAGCCGCGTGAAACTGAAATTGGTGCAGGTTCAAAGGTCGCACAGGGCCAAATACTCGGATAGCGGCCTTGTGCGAATGAAAGGATGAAATCGAGATTAGAAGCGCATCAACTTCCACTGTCCGTTTTGCGGCTTGTTGGCCCTGCGCGTGAGCAGTGCGTTGCTGCTATTTGCAGCATTTCACAAACGGACTCCATTTCAATCCCACCCGGCCGCATCGTTGCATCCCATCCCTTCTCGGCTTGTCCAATCCTGCCTCATCCATCCTGTCCCTTCCAATCCAATCCAGATAACCCACAATGTCCAATCCAAGCTGACTCAATCCAATACAAATGATTGATATGACAGACAGCAAAAAACTGACTTGCTGCATCAAAGCATGCCAAACCTCAACAGAAAGAATGCAAAAACAACCTTGCTAATGAAGGACAGCGAACAAGTACCCAAGCCATGCAGCCAGCCAGTCGGCAATCCAGCAAGCATGCAAGCAAGCAAGCAAGAAAGCAACGCAAAGCAAAGCAAAGCAAAGCAAAGCAAAGCAAAGCAAAGCAGGCAAAGCCAGGCAAGCAAGCAATCTTTCATTCAAATCAACAAGCAAGCCAGCAAGCAATCCAGCAAACAATCCAACATACAAACAATCAACTCCGAGACAAAAGCAAGTACACATCTCAAAAAATGCAAATCAGACACAAGGGCAAGGACAAATATGCAGAACAAAGCCGGGGTATCCACGCAATCGCCCCAATGTCATACATATGTCCTAGCATATACATGTCTAATGTATACATATACAAATATATCTGTCAAATCCAAATCGAGTATACAAATATATATATATTATATCATATTTACACAAATAGGGCAGAGCTCAGTGCCTCGGGCTTGGGCGCAGGCAGGCTTGGGCAGCGGCAACTTCCTCAAACCCAGCTGGGCCGTGCACTTGAAGAACTGCTCCTTCCGCGTTGGGTTTTTTGCCCGCGCGACGAGGTCGAGGGTTGCAGTCAGGCTGACTGGGCCACTTAGGCGGATGTCCGTCAAAAAAAAAAGCAGAGGCATTCACGAAGGGAATCGGCGTGAAACTCCAAAAAACAACTGTACGAATCCGCCAGCTGAAAGCCTGCATAGTTGCGATGCTTGGTTGTTTCTCAACGTTGGGGATTGCTCGGAGGGCCAAGGTTGTCCCACAAGTTCTTGCTTCAAAGCTGCTCCGCTTGTCTCCAGACACGTGCGTCGACGTCAGTTGCTTACTAACGGAGTCTTCGGAAAGCTTCTCAAAACAATTCCGTTGCTGTTGAGGGAGGATCCCGGAAACCAGCTGTTCAAGGATTCCCTGCCAGTTTGTTGTTCCTTGTTTTCACTATGAAGGCGAAGAGGGCATGGCACACTACAAGAAGCACTCGTAACCAAAGTCCTTAACCGAGCCAACAATCTCAGGATTCATCCCTCGAGCCCGCCTCCAGTGCAGAGGACCGTGGCCTGGGCGATGGAGAAATTCACGTTTCGCCCGGTTTGATGCTACTCCTGTGTCTGTGTGTGTGTGTGTGTGTCAACACTATCAAAGGAAGCTTAGAAGGAACTTCCATGGTAAAGAGAAGAACAAGCGCACGGGAAAAATGTGCCCTTGTGGCGAGGGCATAACATTGTCCGAAAAGCGCAACCCTCAACAGGTTTCGGCTTTTCCTGATTGCGACGCCTGGTCGAAGCTTGTTTGGAGGGCATTCGCGTGCACTTTTCGCAACATTAGTTGCAGTGGCAGCAGCACTTTGGTAAGGTCAGGTACTTCGTGGCAGACTTTGCAGGCACAGCACGTTCCGCACTTTCGCAAGGTGTTTTGTACATATTCCGAAGATGAGGTATAGATTTATAGATCAATAGATAGATAGATTGGATAGATTGGATAGATTGGATAGATTGGATAGATTGGATGGATTGGATAGATTAGATGGATTATTGCAAGCATAGATAGATAGATAAATAGATTAGATTAGATTATACTAGACTATAGATTAGAGTAGAGATAGACAGATACATAGATAAGATAGATAAGATAGATGAGATGGACAAGATAGACAAGATAGACAAGATAGACAAAATAGATAAGATAGATAAGATAGATAAGATAGATAAGATAGATAAGATAGATAAGATAGATAAGATAGATAAGATAGATAAGATAGATAAGATAGATAAGAAAGATAATATAGATAAGATAAGATAGACAAGATAGACAAGATAGATAAGATAGATAAGATAGATAAGATAGATGAGATGGATAAGATAGATAAGATAGATGAGATAAGATAGATAGGATAGATGATAAGATAGATGAAAAGATAGATAGATGGATGGATGGATGGATGGATGGATGGATGGATGGATGGATGCATGGATGGATGGATGGATGGATGGATGGATGGATGGATGGATATATAGATAGATAGAGACATATATAAAGATAATAAGATAGATAAGATACAGAGATAGATGAGATAAGATAAGATGAAAAGACAATAGAAGATAAGATAACATAAGATAAGATGGAAAAGGTAACATAAGATAGATTGACTGATAGATCGACAGCTGGGTACACACACACACACGGATAGATAGACGCATAGATATACAGGCAGATAGATAGATCGATAGATAGATAGACAAACAGATAGATAGATAGATCGATAAGTAGATAGATAGATGCACAGATACAAAGAAGGGAAAGAGAAAGACAAAGAACAAGAGAAAGCGAAACATAAACAGGGTAAAAACAAGAGCCATGGCGAGAAAGAGAAAGAGAACTATAATTTGCATAAACTTGAAACTTCCGCCCACCGGCCTCGCCGGCTGTATGCATATTGCTGGGTTTCCGGCTTTGAGACAATCCAAATACACAAACCGAGAGGGTCGTCTGTTTGTGCAAATCAACCCACCCTGCGTTTAAGTGATTGCAGCAAACGCATGGAACCCTTGAAACCGTGCAAGGCTTGATGGAACTCCCTTGGCCCTCGGTGGGGGCACGTCACTTGCCTGCATGGGCTTGCACCAAGATTGGGATGCAGAAAGTTGGCATATTAGGTTTCTGAGTGAGTTGGCTTCCCTCCAACTTTGAATACGTTGCACCTTGTCTGAGCCCCCATGCTCTCCTGTGTAGTTCTTCAGCCCCAACGTGATGATGAGGTGACAAATGAAAACTTGGCCGGAGAAATAGACCGCTTTGCTGTCACAAACAGTTTACGAAGCCAAACCTGTATACAAATGATCGACACCTCCTCCCACCACAATTGATCCCTTCGAACATGACTAACTGAAGTCAAATCGGGAACCTACCTTTACTTAGGTGCACCAAGCAAGTGCTTGTATAGGCTGCAGCGTTCTCTGTCGTCGGACTTTCGCTTGCACGTGGAGCCCTCCTGTTTTGAGTGAAACGAGTGTCCAAAATTTGAGACATTACAACTTTACAACCCTAAGTTGTTTGCCTTGAAACTGCATGTTGAAACAAACTGTGCTTGGCGTGGACTGGCAAGATTTCAGTTGAACGAAACAAACAGGCCTGTGTTTGTTTCCACTAAAGAACCCCCCCCTGAAATCAGTTTCTTCACAAGTCGCATCTTTTGGGTGCTTGTTGGCGAAGCGACTTCCGGACTACAAATATGCTTTCCAGGCTGTATCATATATATATATATATACAACATCGTTAACTTGCAAATCTAGAGGAAGGCTTGAATGAGAGGGGGTTGCCAATATGTCTTGTTAACGCTCAAAAGCGAGCCCTGAACAATCCATAAGGCGACAAGAAATCCAAAGTCAACCTTCTGCGCATGGTGGTTGATCACAAGGTGCTTTCTCATGGCAGACCCACGCAAAAGATCATATGTCCTACTCAGTGGGGAAAAGTTACCCATGGCCATTGGGGGGCCGAAGACAAAAAAAATATCAACCCCAACATCCCTTTGTGCCCTAAGCCAGGTGTGTGTGTGTGTGTGTGCGCCTGAAAAGCGCCAAGGCGCACATACGCCAACAGAGCCGTGCCATCATGAGCTTGACCACTCCTGGCACCGAGGCGCCCAGGCGCCGAGCCTCTGCCTTCCAGACCTTCCAGGCTTGAAGATATGGGTCACACGGATCACTAAAAAACGCAAGTTCCGCTTCCTTGTTTCGCTGCATGACATCATGCTCTCGATCTGGTTGGCTTGCAGATATCCCTGTCCAGCCAAAAGCGTGCCAAGCTTCCGGCTTTGAGTTCGGAAAACCACCTAGGGGTCCCAAAGGCTACATTCATTTCCCAGCGAGCGACCAAAAGCTGGCAGCATGTGTCATGCACGAGACAGTTGTTCAACGATGATCAGCTGGTTTGGATTCTGAGGCGCGTCGAGCTTCTCTGCTTTTCGGCGTTTGACCAGAGACTTTCGACGCTGGTGCCGAGGGAACTGCAACGCTCGAAAGGCCTTGGCCGTGACCGCGCACTGCGGTGGAGCGCTCACCGGGCAGGAGGCCAGGCGGCAAGAGGCGACGGCCAGAAGGCCATGACCACCGCAGAGAAAAAAGAAAAAGAAAAAAAACGGAGGCCTGTGGTGAGGCAAAGGGAGGGGTGCTCATCGGGTAGAGGTAACCTTAGCGCCCGTTTTGCGGTCCGCATCCCCCCGACAAAGGGCCTAGGGGAATTATTATGGCTAAGGCTTTGCTTGCTTTAAATGCCTGACGGAAAATGAAAAGCGAGCTCTTGGCCAGCGAATTACACAAGATGCCCCTGACCTCTGAAACAGCCCCCTTTCGTAACACGCAATTGCTCTGGCGGCTCAAACCTCAAAAAGCGGTTTGTCTTGACCTCAGAGTTCACATTTAGGGAACCTCCTTTGGTTGGCTTCAGGAAACCAAAAGGAAACCAAAACAGACAAAAGGAAACCAAAAGGAAACCAAGCATTTTGGGGTCCCCCTGGATTTCACATTGGGCGGAATCAGCAGTCCTCTCGCCCAAGGCGGCCGCCACTGTGACTGCGAGGGCAGTGGCGCTGTCCTCGGGGAGTGTGGTACGGGGTGGGTTCCGGTGCAGGCATACCCAGCAGAAGAGCTTAGGGACGGGCTAAAAATAATGTTTGTCTGCGATGATCGTCCGCGCTAACGAATCAGCGATTTTGCCTGCCGACACGCTTACTATCAAAGTTGACTAACAACGCCTTAGCTGGACAGTAGAGCACAGTAGACGAACGAATGGACAAGTGGACAGACACACAAGTGGACGTATGGAGAAATGAGTGGCTGTTTGGGGTACATCCAAATTTGGCGTTGACGAGAGTATGGTGCAGACAAGACTACAGTGGGCAAGTAAGTGCACTGGCAGGTCGACGAGTTGACAGCCGAATTGACGGACGAGTCAACTAGACGAACAAGTGAGTGAGGAATCGTACGAGTGAAGGGACCAGCGAGCGAATAACTTGAGGTAGAAGCTTGGTGAGCGAATCGAATTCCACACTTGATGAATTCTTTGGCTGGAATGCAAAGTCGGAGGGGCAAAGGTCCCAGTATGGGCAGCTCTTTGTTGGCTCTACCGGCCTCATCACCCCAACCATCAACTCGTCCACGCCTTCGTGCACTCGTTCGTCCACTCATCCAACCGCTTATCCACTTACAAAAATCCGACTCGCGCAGAAATGAAGCTAAGTCCCAAAAATTACAGTAGATGATGTCCGACAAATCCGCAGCGTGTAGAAAACAAGAGTCCCCCAAATATCGCGCTTATTTCAAAAGGATCCCCCGAGCCATCAAGCAGGCCTTTTGTGCGAATTAGGGCTCGTGTCAGGCTCTTGCCATACCTTGCTTGACGCCAAACGGCCCATGGACGACCCGTCCTCCACCCAATTGGTGTAGAGGCAATCACCTCGAAGCTTCTTGCGAAGGTGCTCAGTGATGACATCTAAACGTAGAATGTAAGTGTGTGTGTGTGTGTGTGCGTGCGCATGTATGTGTATGTATTTTTGTACATGTATGCTTGCAGGGCATCAAGGGCCGGGAAACCTGGCGGGGAAGCGGCGATGCGTTCATTTTTTTGCTGGCGGTGTGAGCCCGTACGCACGACGGGCCGGAGCAGGGCGCGCTCTGGGGTGTGCTCGCGCGCGCGGGACGCGCAAGGTGTCAAGGCAACTGCTCCCTTTGGTTTTGCATTTTGCTTGCTGCTGCGTGCTCCTTGTTTGACGGCAGTCCTATTCTGTTCTCGGGCTTTGGATCAGCAGCCCGTTGCTTTATTGTGTTGCGTGTTGGGTCGCTTCCTTTCTTTCTTCAGGTTTTATACATATTATGCCTGCGGCGGCAGGAGTTCTTCAGGCGGTGGGATGAGAGCACGGAAGGGAGGATGGCAGGTGAATTTCGGAGAAGGTGACGTTTTGGTTGCAAGACCTCGATGGGCAGCGCATTGCGGAGGAAATGCCGGACGCGCAGGACGGGGAGCAGGTTACTACGGGAGGAGATGCTCTTCCACGACCTGATCGCGGACCCAGTTTTGGAGTTGGTGCTGACAAGGAAGCCGGGGCACCAAGAGAAGCACGATAAGCAGCTTTGGAAAGGCTAGACGATCTTTGTGGTGATCAACTGAGGGGGGTTGAGCCGATAGGCTCTTTGCTGAGGAGCTCCGGAATTTGTCACGATGTCAACCATTTGCATGTTCTTTCAGGATGGCCTCACTGGTTCTTTGGAGATCAAGGACAAGAGCTGAAGCTTAGGCTTTTGTGGAAACGATGGTTGCACTGCGTAAGGCCCAGACTAATCAGAACCACATCGGCGTGCGGAGCACCGAAATGTCTCCTGGGCATTTCGCGCGAACCCCCGAACCCCAAACCTCCGATTTGTCCATGTAGAAAGCCCTCAAACCAAACCTGCCATCCGAGCTCCGTTTCCCAACTCCTAACATCAGCCAGAAATCATCCTTGATCTGGCGAGATGTCCGGCCAAATGCCGCTAATCCTCAGGAGAGTGGCATTTATCGTGGTTCTGAGCAAATTGGAGGAGCGGTCAACAAGCACTGCCAAGACTTCAAAGAAAAGCAGGCCATATTCAAAACCTGAACAAAGGAACGTGATTCAACTTGTTCCCAGACTCCTTGCCGAGTGCGCGAGGGTACAAAAAGAAAACCATCAGACGTACACGCTTGTTCTTGAGCCAGTACTCTCTCGTAAATTTAGTGATATCTATCTTTCGTAGCTTTCGAAGGCGGAGGCTTGGGGCCTTTGCGGAGGCAGCCCCTGAACTCCACACCCGAGCCAGGCTACAAGCTACGCAATCGACTTGGGACGACCCCATATCGGGATCACACCATCGGTCGCGGCGCTTGTCCCAAGTCATCCCCTGAGAGCAGACCGGGTCAAAACAGATCAGGTCAGGAGAAGCAAGGCACCGTCATGGCAACAAGGGCCTCCTACGACCGCATCTGACACGTCAAATGGTACCTTTAGCCATGGCGACCGTCTCCCCTCTCTCCTGCAGAGCATCTCCACGGCCTTCTGGTCACCCCAGGGCAGCGCCGCTGCCTGCAAGACGAAAAGCCCGCAGTTGGAGTGTGGAATGGTGGATTCACTGCAAACCAGAGATGTGTCGTAGCGAGAGATGAGAGAGAGCTACAGTTTCTGTTTGATCTCGAAGTTGTCTCTCACTGGAGGGAAGCGACTTTGGCCAAATGGCCAAATGGCCGTAATTGTCCAGAAGCAAGCAGTAACTGGAAAGGACTGGTCAAAAGTGTGGTCACAAATCCAGTCAAAACATGTCCAACGAACGGTCATTTTTGGCCCACAGGAGACGACAACGTGATAAAGTGTCTGGAGAATGTAGCAGCTCAAATCATGAGTCGCGCCGCTCGCGCACCACTTTCGGCCCCACTCATCTTTATCCAAGCCTTTGGCTACCCAGGAGCACTCTGCGGCCAAAGGGTGCGTTCAAGGTGGTCTTATCGTAACTGGGGACTACCCTTGTGGACCGTTTTTTTGACGAAGAATCCAAGAAAATCACGTCATAGTTGCCAAGGAAACTTGCAGAAAGCCAAGTACAAAATAATTTGTCGGCGTTCCTTGTAGCACGGTACTTTCTTGTTCGTCCCCCAATCTTTTTTGACGGCCAACAATTGCCAGGAATCACATTAGCAGGTGCGTATGTGTCAAATTAGGGGGGCCAAGAAATAATGGCGGTTGTTCTTTCGATCTCCATTTAAGCAACCCAAAAATGTGTATCGTCAAACAAAAACACACCCAGGTGGATGGAGGTGCCCTGCGACACGCTGGTGAAAAGGCCTCTGCGCAAGTCCCGTGGAGCACATCCCCAAGTTGCCTCTGTGATGCTGATGCGGGGGGTAGCAGCTTTGTTTAGGAGCCATCCCTTCTTGTTCTTGAGTCACAAGTGATGGGGAAAGCAGAGCGCTGCTGAGTCGTCCGATTTACCATTCGATTTTCTGGGGCTTGGGAATCCCAAAAGTGGACCACTACAGACAGCAAGTAGGAAGATCATGCACTACATTGTTTATGTTCAATATGTGTTCTTCGCCCAAACATGCGTTTTCCCGCGATATGTACAATCTGTAGCTATTTTCCACTGTGTTTTCTAAAGTTTCTTGCTGCTCTGCTGATTTGCTGCGCACTACATGCTGTTGTGCGCGTGTTGGCTTGAAAAAGGACGCAATGCGCGCTTTTCTTGGTTCATTGAGGCCCTGTCTCTAAGTCAAGCTCACGTAGGTAGCTTGACTTTAATGAGTTGTCTGGTTTCAAGTCGTTACCCAACCTCACGTCAGCCTGAGCCTACTAGATGGTATCGGGCAGTCACCCGCCCACACGCCATGTAAAGAGATCCATCCCGTCGGATCTGCGATCCCGCTATCCTCAGCAAACGTGCCTGTGAAACGATTTCACCCGCTCAAGCACAAGCTCAGCGCTGCCAGCCACGAAATAGCAAACAGCCAGCACGGCATGCATGCCTGCCAATATGATAAGCACGCCCGCTCAAGAGCTCGTGCTCAGCATTGCACACATGCCAAATGACAAGCACCCCCACTCAAGAGCACACGCTCAGCACAGTGTCCATGACTGCCCAACGATGAGCACACTGGCTCAAGATGCCTGCCCAATGATAAGCACACCCGCTCAAGAGCGGGCAGCCGGCGTAGCTACATGCCTCCACACGATGTCCGGGACGTTGGCATGCTAGAAACAACTGGCAAAGTTTAACTGCAACTGCTTCAAGTCATGCTTCACGAGCTAGGTGGTCCAAGATTGTCGAAGGTCCAATTTTGCCAACACAGCAAGAAAAACTCTGTCCACAAACTGCAAACTGCGCGCATCCAAAAAGCACTGCGGGCAGTACCCCATGCAAACTAAAATGGGTTGCGCAACCCTCCACATTTTGGGGGGATCTCTATCTTGCGCAACCTCGAAGCCCTGCTCACGTCCCGTCAATGCCTTGAGGCCGCCAACCCGGCAAAAGCAAAACCGTCTTTGCAGAGTGGAGGGGTGGATAACTCAACTGCTCGGCCGTGGCTTCTGCTAACCGACACAACACATGTTTGCTTCCACTAGCCTGCTGCCAAGCAGTGGTTAAACCACCAAACCCACGAGAAGTGCTCTTGCAAGGATGCGAAATTGAGGAACCCTCTGCCCCTTGCAGAATTGTTTCGCGCACAAAACCTTACACAAGTGATCTTGACAACTGACACCCTGTTGCCAAGTCAGCAACAAAAAGAGCCTGCAAGCCAAATGACACGGTACAAAACTTGCAATTACCCTAGCTTAGTCTTGCGCAGTGTCCGGCAAGTATGATGTGAGCACGGCTGCTTGCACGGGCACAAATCAATGGCCAACAACTCCCCTTGCAACGAAACCATAATTTAAGGACTGTTCGCTAAGAGCCTGCGTGGCTACGAAAAAAACAAACGTGCTCCAAGGATGTCCGAGAATCCCCGACGCTGCGTGGTTGCCTCTGAACTAATAAAACCAACCAACTGTCAAGATGCGCTGCTTTGTGACGCTGCGGTGTTTTTCGGTCTCCAGGCAGGGCTCAGCAAAATCTATCGCGATTCACTGTAAAACAGGTCCTCTTCCGGAAGCTGGGGAATCGACTTTAGTGGCCAATACCCCGGCTTTTCCCTGAACAGTGAACAAAGGCGAACTTATGCAGGTTTTCGGAAAAACCAACCTGGCACCTGTGCTGGCAACTCCAAATCTCTTCTGCCCGGCACCAGCTGACAAAATGCCAAGTCGCTCGATGCGATGCGGCAGGTCTGTCCTGAGCCGTCGAGGAGGGTGCCGACAGTACCCTAGTGGTTCAGCTTGGATGGCGCAAACAGAAGACAAAAAGGAAGCGTTGTCGTTCATAGAGCAAATCCCAGTCCTTGTAACAGACGCCAAAACATCCCCACCCCATGCTGCAGATTCAGGCAGCAATTGATTGAAAAATAGCAAAACCTGGAACCTAGTTCGATGGTGCGCCCCCAAATCAAAAAGCAAGAGTTTGAGGAACCTCATCCCCCCCCCATCAAGCAAAAACCAAAACAAAAACGGGAAAGCCCCCGCGCTCATCGGAACCCGACTTCTCAGCCCCAGCTGCGCCAACAGCTTGCGTGGGCGCATAGCAGCCACGATCTTCGCCAGTTCGCCGTTGCCTGACGGAAAAGCCATGAGTTTGCATGAATCCGGGCTCCGTATTCCCCGAACACCACCCCAAAAGGAAGCTCACTTACATTGGCACCCGAAAAGTCCCTGTGAATGGGACTTGCCAACGGCCAACAAAGCCCAAAAGGATGTCCAAAAGGAGTTGACGAGTTCGTCTTGGGTATCCAATCTTTGAAACGCTGCATGTCCCTTTCAATCGAAGAAGCTCTGGCCCTTGCCAACTCGGCCTGGAAGATCAAACAAAAAGCAGGCGATGGGCACAATATTGCACTGCTGGTGGGTGACTTATCCCAATAATCGTAGGGTTGCATCCATCCCAGCTGGTGCTGGAGTTTGTTCCTCCACTATGTCACAGCATCTGGGAAACATGAAAGGGCGGCCCGTATCTTTGGGCAAGACAAACATTTCATCATTAAGTCATTATGCATTTTCAAGATCCATACCTGTATATGTGCGTGTGTTTTTTGCGTGTTTGGTTGCTATTGAAACACGCCCTCAGTTCAACCCGGTCAAGCTGCTCAGTGGCACCCGAACACTTCCGAAGCGCACATATCCTAGAAGACAAGAGGTCTTAGAACAAGTGGGCAACTCAGCATATGAGCAAAAAACTGAAAGGAAGATGTGTGCACTTTCTAATGCCTTTTGACTCCGGTGACGTCTGGACTGTTACAAAGAAACCGACGTGCAAACAAAGTTTCACCAACATCTTCAAAACTAGGGTGGCCTCTTTCTGCCGAGGCTGATAAAACACTCCTCGGCCCATCGCTTGAGCCATGGGCACACAAGGCCTGACTTTATGTGCCCATCCGTCACTGTCCGCCTGTACCGCGTATCTTAGGTTGCATTAACTTGGCTAGATAGCTACATACATAGATAAATCGAACAAGCGAAAGAGTAGCAAAGAGGCTCAGAAAACTGTGATCTACGCGAAGCATTCTCTCGACACCCCCAAACAAATCAACTCCATTCCTGTGCCCGCAGCTTGGGAGGTCTGCAAGAGCCGGGCGCAGAGCAGGCCGCTGGCCTGCGCCCAGCTCGAGCACGTTGCGGCCGCACAGCAGCGCGCGGCCCCGGGAGCTTCTGCGAGCGAATGCTCTCTTTGGGTTCGAACGCTAGGGTTCGCAGTCTTGAACGTGCCAGCTTCCCGACCTCCTACAAAGTGCACACAGACCCCTTTGTAAGGATTACTACACTTTCATATAGGAAAGGGCCCAAAACAAAGAAAGATTAAGGTGGTGAAAGATTGTGCAATCAGCATCCCCCAGTTTCATTTTCTGGTTCAGTTGAGAGCTCTCAAAGCACGGAGCAATCCAGCTTACAAAGTGACCATCCACAGACCCCGCCAACAGTCAGATTCCCAGTTTGCGACAGGAGAAGAGCAACACACACACACACACCCACATACAGGTTGATTGAGGAAAGGTGTGTGGATTGAAGCTTCGAACACTCGTAGCAATCCAAGCCAAGGCTCTTGGGTGCTTGGTCAGGGATCTGGGAGTTTGAGAAGCAACACATTGGCGACCACAGTACGGTCATGATGACCTGATTTGTCTCTGCGCAAGCTCCTTCCGCTTCCATGGTAGTGGCCTTTGTTGCTCAGGAATGCGCCCAAAAGAAGACTCTTTGGGAAGCATGCCTCAGGGGTTTAGGTCCGATGTTGCTGGGGGAACACCAGGCACAGATCGACTTGTG